GCATGCAAAAGCAATTCCCACACTTTGCATCAATTTACAACCTTCATCCCAGAGTTCACTGGCAACATCCCACCACATTGTAACCAGTCTCCTTAAACGTTGAGTTGTGGCGCAGTAGTGTACATGTTGGCGGTAGATCAACGTCTGCGTCCGAGGCTGAGAGCCAATCGCTAGCGGTTAGTCTCACTAAACTTTGCAGGGTGACAAGTCTTTGGTACGGGGATGGTCATAGGTGACTTCGGGTCAACCAATATGGCTTCCCTAACCCCTCCCACCTTTTTTTTGCATGAAATCGCAAATTAAACTAATTTCTAATCTCACTAAATGCCAGACTCCATCCTTACTTCGTTTTGACCCATAGCTTTCATGAGGGCTTATGAAAGTTCAATATACCTGCATATTGTCTTTTTAATTTTTCTACCGTCCAACCCAACCACTTTAGCTGGACGGTAGAGCGACGGTCTCGCTTCATGCAGGTCGGCGTTCAATCCCCCGACCGTCCACAAATGCTTGGGCACCATTCCTTTCCCTCCGTCCCATCCCAAATCCTTATCCTGACCCCCTTCCCAGTGCTATTTAGTCGTAATGGCTTGTTACTTCCCCTGAAAGTTTCCTTCCTTCTTGATTTGATGTATTATAATTCCTAGTAATGTCGATAATCTTATTAAGGTGTGGAATTAGTAATTTACCTGCAGACATCTCGGCTCAGTGCCTAGTATCAAAGGCTCCTCCCCCCCCCCCCCCGACAGTCGTTTGTATAATAGGTCATTAGTGTAATTATGTCGAGAGAGTCTTGTGTTCGTTGTCCAACTGATCTGTATAATGTATAGTGTATAATGTATAGTGTATAATGTATAGTGTATAATGTATAGTGTATAATACGTAGATGATCTTTTTGTTCCGGGGTGAATCCTGGCCTCAGGCCGGGCTCTGGGAGTAGAATAACTCTCGACACTCTCTACAGGTAAGTCTGGCAATAATGAGCAATTCGTCTGTGACGAGGCTTGTGAGAGAGGAAGCCTAGACAAGCAACTGTCGCCTGACATCACCACACCCGCCTACACATCGCCTTCCATCATAGAACCGTGGAACGGTGGACGGGCTTCTCTTCCGTGGAGCGACTGAAAATGATGTTTTGTAATTGAACACACCTGTACGTGGAGGTGTGTAGCGTCACCCCGCCCCTTCCTGTCCTCACACCCTCACGTCCCTGAGCCCTGGGGCCAGTCCACGGCCCCTGAGCCCTACACGGTCCCTGGGGCCCGTGGCCCTGGGCAGCTCAGGGCCCCCTGGTTGTGAGGTAGTGGAGGAAACATCAGCTGGAACGCAGGAAACAAGAAACTGTTAAAGGGTATGGTTCAGGCTCTGTCAGCGGGCACGCCTCCAGCTCCCCAACACCCCCCCCCCACTCCCCATCACCCCCCTCTCCCCAACCCCCCCTCCTCCAACCCCCCCTTCTCCAACCCCCCTCCTGCTTGTTAATCAGTGTAAAACTGTAAATGAGAGCCCTGACTGTAAATTCTAGGAGGCCCGTTACTGCAAACTAAGTCAAGTTTCGTTCTGGTATTTTGTGTGAAAGAGCAGCCAGGGATGGAAAGGTTTGAGGATGGCGTAAGGTGGTGATTGTGGTGGTGTGGGGTGGTGGTGACGGGTGTGGGGTGGTAGGTGTGGTGGTAGGTGTGGTGAGGGGTGTGGGGTGGTAGGTGTGGTGGTAGGTGTGGTGAGGGGTGTGGGGTGGTAGGTGTGGTGGTAGGTGTGGTGAGGGGTGTGGGGTGGTAGGTGTGGTGGTAGGTGTGGTGAGGGGTGTGGGGTGGCGGAGGTGAGGAGTGGAAACGATGAACCCTTTTGGGAGGAGCGTGGCCGCCCCCGCCGCCCACACTTCTGGGGGCGGGCTGGGTGATGATGTGCAAATCAATAGTGGCTGCGTGGTGTTCCGCCCACGCCCCGCACGCCCACACGCCGCACGCCCACACGCCGCACGCCCACGCCCCGCACGCCCACGTCCTACTAACACCTCGCCAGCACCACACCACCACAGGAAAACCCAACCCATACCTAATGTGGAGCAAACAAGTTCAATGCAGTGAGCAATCAGTCAGTGGAAGGACCTTTGAGAGATTTTCACATCTTTAATGGTTTTGTAAAGGAGGTCAAGAGGCCAAGGAAGCATCAAGGACTACCAGCTACCTGCAAGAAAGTTGAAGAGTAGTTGGGGAGATGCTGAGGCTGAAGGAACCGGAAGTGTTGAACCACCAGAGAGAACATGGGATGACAGAGATCCTTTTTTATTATTATTATTTTCTACCACAGACGTGGCCAGACATTTACAATGCTAATCAGCATATATATACATTTTCTTCTGTCCTCCATGGACAGGGTGAGAGATCTGTTAAACATATAGTTCAGTGATTTATTGAACAATCAACCACAGAATGTGATTGGAGTGCTTTTAAAATGCTAAGCTAACCTACAGACATAAATGCATAGATACACAGAGTTACGTCTGCCCTACATAAAGTGGTCGATATGTTCTTTTACATAGTATCATTAATGTGCATTTACAAAGGTGAAATGTAATTCTGACCAGCTTCCACATATACTTTACACACACACACACACTTACTGTGAAAGAGATACTAACATAATTGCATATGGAGACGGAAGATAAAATAGAAAAGATTTTTTTTTAGTACAGGAAAAGGGGAGAAATTATATAGTGATGATGAAATTCACTAAACTTACAAAGAGAACATTTTAGGGGGAAAAGCAGACTTGTATGTGCACGGGACCACAAAGAGGTTTTATGCAGAGGGACCCGACACAGGAATAGAAAGCTGCAGCTGCAGAAAAAAAAAGAGCTTGGAGGCACAAGGAAATAATGTGAGAACCAGCGTCCACCAGCTCAATCACCTCCCCCCCCCCACCCCGCAGGGTCAACTACAGTGTTAACATAAGCCATTCCCTACACCCTTCTTCACCACCCTTCATTACCCTTCTTCACCACCTTCGAGGTCAACCCCGGAACTCACAGTTCCTGCGACGGCGCTGGAACCAATCGTATTGGCGTATGCCTTTCCATTGGAGACTTTCAGCGCCGTGGAGAGGGGGGACCTGCTGCCTGGGTAACAGCTTCTCCCCCGAATCAACCTACCCAGGCTTTGTGCCCTGGTGAGGCCACTCCAGACCGACAACCAGAGCGCAACTCCATAGTCTCCTGAGGCTGATGGATGCCTACTACACTCTATCTTAACGAATAAATCCACAAGGGCCGTGATGAGGGTTCGAACTGACGTCCAGGATGATCCCAGACGCTACCTTAATCGACTGAGCCACGACATGGGAAAAGAATTGCAACCGGGATTGCTACTGTCCTCACACGGATCCTGCAGCCTCTCCGAGACACAAACTGAGGTTTTTTACACAATTCCCCCCATGCACCCGGGCTTGTCAACAAAACATTCTACCTCTTAGCCCTTACTTCAATACACACAGAAATCGCAATAGAGATTGTGATTTGTCTATGTTCATGCATTCACTCAACACTCCATTATCCTTCCATTACCCTTTCTCTTTTCCTGCCTCTCTACCTCACCCCCATTGATTCCACATGCAGTGGTAAATCACACCCAATCACCCCTATTCTAAACTCTCCAATCGTTCCCATTGCCCCTTACCATATTTTACTCACTCCAGGGGGAGACAGATTGTCAGGTAATCTGGAAATGAGTTTAAACGTCGTGTGTACTCTCTGAAAGTGAGTTTAAACGTCGTGTGTACTATCTGAAAGTGAGTTTAAACGTCGTGTGTACTATCTGAAAGTGAGTTTAAACGTCGTGTGTACTATCTGAAAGCGAGTTTAAACGTCGTGTGTACTATCTGAAAGTGAGTTTAAACGTCGTGTGTACTCTCTGAAAGTGAGTTTAAACGTCGTGTGTACTATCTGAAAATGAGTTTAAACGTCGTGTGTACTATCTGAAAGTGAGTTTAAACGTCGTGTGTACTCTCTGAAAGTGAGTTTAAACGTCGTGTGTACTCTCTGAAAGTGAGTTTAAACGTCGTGTGTACTATCTGAAAATGAGTTTAAACGTCGTGTGTACTATCTGAAAGTGAGTTTAAACGTCGTGTGTACTATCTGAAAGTGAGTTTAAACGTTGTGTGTACTATCTGAAAGTGAGTTTAAACGTCGTGTGTACTATCTGAAAGTGAGTTTAAACGTCGTGTGTACTATCAGTAAATGAGCTCAAGGAACGACTACTTGAGGATGTCGTGGATGTAAATACGTGCTCAGAAATGAAAGTGTCCGGAGTGGCAAGTAATATGGCTTTGTTGGGGAAAATACTGCATTACTTGGAGGCTAGGGAAGGTAGAGGGGGATGAGGAGTGGTGTGTACTTGCGGGGGTTGAGCCCTGGCTCTTTGGTCCCGCCTCTCAACCTTCAATCTACTGGTGTACAGATTCATGAGCCTACTGGGCTCTATCACACACACTGGATGTGTGTATGTGTGTGTGTGTGTGTGTGTGTGTGTGTGTGTGTGTGTGCGTGTGTGTGTGTGTGTGTGTGTGTGTGTGTGTGTGTGTGTGTGTGTGTGTGTGTGTGTGTGTGTGTGTGTGTGTGTGTGTGTGTGTGTGTGTGTGTGTGTGTGTGTGTGTGTGTGTGTGTGTGTGTGTGTGTGTGTGTGTGTGTGTGTGTGCGCGCGTGTGTGTGTGTGTTCAGTCTTTATCATATTAAGTACGACTTAACCTCCGGAGTAGGCCTCTAAAACATTGCTTAAGACTGTTACAAAATATACAATATTTTGTACGGCTTGACAGGTCGAATTCTAATCTGAATTTCTGACTAGTTCTTCCTTACATTATTTTTGTCCTGAAGTTCGTCTCTTTCCTTATCGTCATGTTAATATCGGTATTTACATCCATGTAAAATGTGTTGCAAGAAGCTTACTATGTGTGTGTGTGTGACACTAGCGATGACGGTAACACTGTTTTGTCTCTCCTTGCAGTGTTGGTGTTGGAGCAGGTGTGTTGGAGGAACCCTCTGATGGCGTCTCTTCCGGCCCCTACCAGGTGCTTGCCTGGCGACGAGGACCTCGCCGAGGACGCCAGCGGGGCCTGTGTCCTCGCCCAGAGGCACCAACCGCAGGCCCGTCTTGCCTACGCCACCAGAGAAGGAGGCCTTGGTGAAGGAACTCGGCCATGGGGAGGGGACGCCACGGAGACAGGTCATGAGAGAGAGGACTGGCAGATGGGAGATGAAGGGCAAGGTGGAGGGGGTATTGTGGAGGCTTCAGGTACATTGGTAGTGAGTAGAGCTGACACCCCGCTGACCCCCGGGGCTGACAACCCGCTGACCTCCGGGGCTGACAACCTGCTGACCCCCGGGGCTGACAACCCGCTGACCCCCGGGGCTGATAACCTGCTGACCCCCGGGGCTGACAACCCGCTGACCCCCGGGGCTGATAACCTGCTGACCCCCGGGGCTGATAACCCGCTGACCCCCGGGGCTGACAACCCGCTGACCCCCGGGGCTGACAACCCGTTGACCCCCGGGGCTGACAACCCGCTGACCCCCGGGGCTGACAACCCGCTGACCCCCGGGGCTGACAACCCGCTGACCCCCGGGGCTGACAACCCGCTGACCCCCGGGGCTGACAACCCGCTGACCCCCGGGGCTGACACCCCGCTGACCCCCGGGGCTGACAACCTGCTGACCCTCGGGGCTGACAACCTGCTGACCCCCGGGGCTGACCACCGTCCAGGTGCTGGGGCTTGCGGACCTGCTGTGGAGACCTTGCGGGAAGAAGGGCCACAAGACGAGAGCTCTCCCAGCAGTACCCACAGGCACACACACCACCACCACCTGACGACTGTTGACGTCCCAAGCATATATTGCCTCCATACACAACACGACAGATCTCAAAAGCCAAAACAAAGTGGTGCTGCCTTAGAGTTATCACTTATTTCGTACAGTGGCATTTTCCCAGGCGAAGTGACCCAGGTGGCAGACTACACGTCTGGTTCCTGTGGGGACAATGAGCTGACGCACCACGACTCTCTCTCCGCTACTTGCACACCCAACACTAGCACACAGCAGGATTGTAACAATAATCTCCAAAAATCTAAGGACTCGCTTCATTCTGAAGAGCCTCTTCTAGACCTTGCAGTAGTTAATGAAACTGTACACGCGTCCGAGCTGCCTACCGAGAGGCAAGACATGGTCTTGGACCACACACTGTGGAGATCAGCGAGGCACAAGTGGCTTCAGCGACGCCACGTGCTGACAAAGGCTGTAGCTGAAACATTCTCACAGATCAAATCGTTTTATAAAGGGTATAAATATACAAGGAGGAGAGGTAAAATTAAGTGGAGTAACTCCCCCATATGTGGAGAGGACATGAAGCGCATGGGGGAAGCTAGGATAGTGCAGTGTAATAATGAACAGGAAGTGTCAGACAGGCAAGCCAGGGACGGTGGCATGAGGAGCGGGAAGCAGCGAGGAGACCAAAGCCCAGCCAGTAAGGGAACCCACTGGTGGCAGACCAGAGGCAGGAACAATGAGAACGTTCGTGACAACGGAGGAGGTAGAGGTCAGCATAGTGACACCGTCCGCAAGTCTGGCACTCACACTTCTACCATCAGCAGCTTCCAGAGAAGTATTGATATGGAGGCCAACGGCCGGAGGAAAAAAACAAAAACTCTGATGCACAGTATGCGACGAAGTGTGAGCATCGAGCACGACAGGAGCGATGACGTATACCTCAAGACGATCAAGTATAGAGACAAGTCTCAGGACCGGAGAGCCATGATGTATGTCTCCAGCAGCAGCGAGGACCCACCTACAGGTTTACAGACAACTCTGAGAGCCAGACCCCAGAAGCCTTGGGAGAGGAAGAGGCCAAGCCCAACGAGACGGGCTGAGTCAGCCTCCAGACGAGCGGCCAACGACCAGAGCAGAGCCCGACGGCGACAGGCTAAGAAGACAGAGCAGTCGTCCAGCAGTCCGTCGTCGAGCTCGTCTCGCTCTGGGTCGGTCGGCAGGAGCAAGGCTGTACAGGGACCTAGACCAGCATCACCTGCTACAGCTAAGAACACATGCCAGGTATCAACAGATATGGTCCATGTTGACGAGTCCATACCACTGGAAGGTAACAGTAAAGATAACACCAAAGAGTTTTTGGAAAGGCTAGATAGCGTCCTCTCTGATTTAGTTGAAAATGAAAAGAAGAAAATCAGTAAATATGGTCATTCAAGCGTTAAGAGCGATGAAGCAGAAAGTGGGCTGGTAACTCTCCAGCCACGAAAGAAGCGCCACAAGAAGAGAGATGAGAGTAAAGAGAGAGTCAAAAAGGTGTCAGACAATAACGACGTCACCAGTCCATCTCTACAGCAGCTGCGAGAAACACTGAAGGCCGTCAGAGTGAGGAAGCGAGCTCCGGCCTCCGCTGACTTGCTGGACAAACATTCACAAAGGTTTACGGAGCGTCAGCCACACAACCCACGCATCCTCAAGTCTGAGCACGCCTCTCAGCTCGTTAACCAGAGGTGCTACCAACCACCCAGACGGAGGCCACCACGCCCTCGCCCACACCCCACCGATTTCCCTTCGGATTTTTACTCTTCCGACGAAGACCATCAGGAACAAAGGCGTCGGGGCTCTACAGAACCAACGTCCGTAGAGGAGACCGAACCTGAAGCACCGGATGAAGTCCAGTGCAAGAATGGGGACGTAGAGGATGATGATACCTGCTACGGTAGCGACTACCAGGCCTCCCAGGCGCAACACCCCCGCCCCTCTGCGCACGACCACACGCCACAACGCCCGCTCGACTCCGGCGACTTCAGCGTGGACAGTGCCTACACTGGCAGCCGTGGCGCTACTCCTGAGAGCATTCTTAACCCCGGGGTTAAACCCCGGCGTCAGGGCAGCAACCTCACCTCACCGCTCGTGACCGCCAAGCCCCGCCAGCCTCGGTCAGCTCGCCGCCTGCCACCAGTGGAGCCGCTACAGCAACTCAAGCGGACCATTTTGAAAGAAATCCGGGAGTCTAAATTATACAGTGACGAGAGCATCAACTCCCTGCTGGAACAGTACCGCCGCAAATGCAGTCACTTTAGTCCAGCCGACCTGGACATAATAACCCGAAGTGTCCAGGACGACCTGGGGGTCAAGCCTCGACCAGCACAGTTCCTCTACCAGATACTGGTCGGTGGCGACGACGACCACACGCAGCCGGTCGCCGCCGACAAGAGCCTGGGCGACGCCGAGGACACGTCACTCCTGACCTTAAAATCAACCGGGAAGATATACGGCTACGGGCGGCGGCGGCGACGGGAGACAGGCGTCCCAGGACGCCCTCACAGCTCCACTTCCCGCTACACCCAACACATGACCAACAAGACTATTACTACCCACCGTCCGCGCAGGAGTCAGGAAGAAACGGAGGACGAGGCGTGGGCGCGGGCGGCAGTGGGCGTGGTGGCCCCGGAACTAGTGACGCAGGCCAGGGAGGAGGCACAGCAGAGGCAAGACGCAGACCCTGAGACTGACTGGTCGCACTACGTCGCACAACTTTGTCAACAATTCGAGATCAAAATGTGAATCAAAATTCATCTGGAAAGTTGTCCTTATTGGGACTGTTGTTAATATTTATGTAGCTTCGTAGCCCCTTAACCTCAGACCCCAGCCGTGATAACTTCCATTAGTCCTGCCCCCTGTACCCCCTACTCCTTAGACCTGCCCCCTGTACCCCCTACTCCTTAGACCTGCCCCCTGTACCCCCTACTCCTTAGTCTGCCCCTGTACCCCCTACTCCTTAGTCCTGCCCCTGTACCCCCTACTCCTTAGACCTGCCCCCTGTACCCCCTACTCCTTAGTCTTGCCCCTGTACCCCTACTCCTTAGACCTGCCCCTGTACCCCCTACTCCTTAGTCCTGCCCCTGTACCCACTACTCCTTAGACCTGTCCCTTTACCCCCTACTCCTTAGACCTGTCCCTGTACCCCCTACTACTTACCCCCGGTCCCTGTACCCCTTACTCCTTAGACCTGTCCCTGTACCTCCTACTCCTTACCCCCTGTCCCTGTACCCCCTACTTTTTAGACCTGCCCCTGTACCCCTACTCCTTAGACCTGTCCCTGTACCCCCTACTCCTTACCCCTGTCCCTGTACCTCTACCCCCTAAGACCTATTAACACCACCCTACAAATCTCAACAAAATATCTTAGCGTGAAAATGTTTATAGTGTTGTGTGTGTGTGACAGGAGAGTGTTGCTCCAACTCTGCCGTCATCTCTCCTGTCCCGCCCGTCCCTTCCTCGACCCCTCCCTCTGTACCCTTCCTTCGCACCTCTTCCCTCTATCATCACATGTATCTTCTCCCTCCCACCTCCCTTCCCTCCGTGTCGGGTGCCTCCATCACGGTGGCAAGACAGGGGGCAGGTCCTGACTATTATTGTTAACTGTATGTTATTGC